TCAGATGTGCTAAGACTGTGGGCAGAAGATGGATGCCCCAATGTTGCAGGGGAACTTTGGTGGACTGTTCAGGTGCCATCTGTTTGTGTCATTACTCACATTTTTTGGAAGTCACTTGCTTGCACTTCCTGCTTACTCAGTTATTTATTATTTTCTTCTTGGGTCTCTGAGGTAGTTGAAGGCTAGATAGTTACAGTTATAGTCTCCCTTGTTCATGAGACCCAGAAAAGAAATCCACTACAGAAATGTAAAGTATATAAGGTTGAGAGATATCAAAAGATAGTTTTAGATGGTAATACAAAGTTGTGGTAGAAAGGACAAGACTTTGGACTCACCAAGATAGGATAGATATGGAGTATTTTCTCTGAATTTGTCAAATGGAAACACACTAGACATTGTTGATGTATTTATTGCCTATATATTGTATATAGTTGTATTTGTTGTATATAGTTTTTTATATTAGTTATATCCTTCTTTTTTATTTTAGACAAAAAGGAGAAATGTAGTCACATTTCATTTGTATTTTAATAAATAAAGATTGCCCGAAGATCAGAGAGTAAAGCAGTCCCCCTGGTCAGTTTTATAGACCAGGCAGTGGTAACGCACACCTTTAATCCCAGTAGCCACATTAGTTGCCATAGAAATCGGGTGGTGCCTTCCCTTAATCCTAGTGGTTCATGCCTTTATTTCCAGAATTAGAGAGGATTATAAAACAGGAGAGATTGCTCTCAGACACAGTCTCATTCTGAGATTCCCGGAGGCAGGATTGCCATTTTGGACTGAGGTACAGGTAAGAGCTGGTAACTGACTGCTTTCCTTTTCAGATCTTCAGGTTGAACCCCAATTTCTGTCTCTGAGTTTTTACTAATAGTGCTTCACCAGCTCTGCCACCTATACCATGTTTTACAACTGTGGTTCCCCAAGTGAAATTCTGTGGACCAATGATTAAGTAGGTTAAGTGCATTGGATCACACATCCTAATGCACTTCCCCTGCCCCCACCCCAATTCAGGGTTCAAAGTGATCTTTCGAAGCTACGTTTTGTTTTAATTGAATTTAGAGCATCAAACTGATAGTGTACTTCCATGAGAGGAAAAAGCTCCTAGGGAAACTTTAGTAAGTACAAGATGAAACGGAAAAACAAGCACGCTTTTAACGCGATTTGGTCGGGGAAATGTTTTCTTTACCAGGACGCCAGAGAATCTGCCAAGAGTTATTAAACAAGGAAGTCCAAGGTTCCATTGCAGGATCTCAATAAATATTTGTTGATTTGCTGGTTGGTGTGCTAATTCAAGCAGAGAAGGAATTCTATCTCTGTTTTAAAGTCAGAAACTCTAACCGCTCAGTCAGGACAAAAACAGGCTTTGTGTTTAGCTAAGCAACATTACTATCTATTCCCTTATTCAAACACAAATCAGAAAGAAAAGGAGATCTGATGTAGCCTTTGGCAACCAACCACGGAACTCTGATACTAGGCTCCCTTTAGGCAAATATTGCTGATTATTTTAGCTGTTGAGACATACCATCTAATCTATGCACTGAGCGCAACATATCAGGTCTGAGTCCCAGAACCCTCAGGAATTTCAGGCAAAAAGCTTTACCCTTGGAGAGTGGCTTTGTTCCTTACCTCCCCCCACCCCCTGTAGAATAAACCTCAAATGGCTGTGCCAGAGCTTTCCAAACAGAATGGCTCTGAGATCCTTTCAAAAGTGCAGCAATCAGAACTATTGATTCTGAAATTGAGCAATTTCCAGTGGGATCCTCGAATTGGCGCATTACGGTAATTAGGACACATCTTCTATTCAACACGTCCCAAGCTGCTTTCCATCCAAGCATATTCAAAATGTGTTTTTATTCAGCATATTCAAAATGAAATGTTCATCCTTCAAAAAAACTATTCCCCAGCTAGCAGCCTCCCCTCGTCAACGCTTCCCACTTTTATTCTGAGAACTTGGAGATCATTTGAATGATAGACTGAAATTCCATGCTATTTTGAATTATGACTATTTTAAAGAATGTTTTTCTTTAAGTGGTAAGGAAACGTCTCTGAAAGAACAACAGCATTACACACCGTGGAACCTTCTGCAGGTTAGCATGATGTGTCCAGAAGGGCATGGCTGAGCCAAGATGACCAAGCGGCACTTATTCCACACTTAGTCCCTTGTCTTGTGACTGCTCCACAGTGTGGTAACAAGCCACTCCAGGCCTTGAGAGTAAAGCATACTGTGAGCCAGGAGTAAAAACTTTCTGGAGTGATTCTGGTGTAGGGATGTTTAAAAAAATATTGCGCTTAATGACTTAGCATCTTCCTAATCCTGTGGCAGAAAGAGTTAAGGCTTTATTAAAGAGTGATTCTGGAATTGCCCTGTGTGTGACTATGTGATGACTGAGAAGGGTCAGACAAGGAAGGTCAGCACTGTGCCATCCACCTCCTGTGCAGTTAACTTGGGAGAAAAACTCAAGCTAAAAACGGACAGTGCAGAGGGCTGGGAAGGGGGCCTACATGGTTAAGGGTATTAGTTGTTCTTGCAGGAGATCTTAACCCAGTTCCCAGCACCCACATACTGATTCACAACCATCAGAAGCTCCAGTTTCAGGAGACCGGTGACTTCTTCTGACCTCTGTGGGCACTGGGTAACATGGTCCACATACATACTCACATACAGACAAAACACTCATACACGTAGAATACGGGGAGAAAGACAGTTCAGCGCCCGCAAGAGGGCTCAGTTGATAAAGGTATCTGCCACAAAGCCTGATGACCCACACAATGAAAGACAAGAAACACCCCCTCACTCATTAGGTAGATGATAGATAGATGACAGATAGATATAGATAGATGATCAATAGATAGATGACAGATACATAGGATAGATAGATAGATAGATAGACAGACAGACAGACAGACAGACAGACAGACAGACAGACAGACAGACAGATAGATAGATAGATAGATAGATAGATAGATAGATAGATAATAGATGATTTTAAAAGACATTTTTAAAGCATTTCTAACAAGAAAAGCTACTTTGAGTATAGATGCACGCGGTCAAGAGCCCATCTCCTTGTCTGGCGAGGATATGTACAGTAAGATTAAGGGCTAAGGGAACTTTGAATTCGATAGGTTCTTCAGGAACGCAGTCACCTTTGAAACATTGTCATGTAGTGATAATGCGTATCCCTCCCAGACTGTAATCAGTTCAGGGGGAAAGGAAGCCATCTGTTATTTTTATAGCCCATGCCCAGTGGCCCAAAATTAACTGTAAGTTCTGAAGTGTATTGCTTACAGTGTGTGCTGTCTCTGCTTACCCTCGTAAGCAGAGTGAATGATGCACGTGTGAATGTTTTTGCATCCCTTTTGCGTAGATGAGGAACGAGAGGGGTGGGGAGCTTGACTGATGAGCTCATGTCACTCAGTGGCAAGCGGTGGCTATGAAACCTGTCTGATCCTGGAAAGCGAACTGGCGGCATCTCAGTGGACTCCCAGCGTGTGCTTCGGTACACAAGTCTGAATTAGAACACCAAGTCTGATTCCTTCCTGTGTGTATTGACATGCTCTGACACGGTGGAGGAGGGGAACTTCTCTCTCCAGTGTAGTGCGTCCGTGGTTTCCTACTGATTTTCCTGGGGAATCACATAGTTGAGGCCACATTTTAACTTGGGATTGGTTATTGGTCATATGCACTGGTGTTCAATATAATACAGAAGCGTGATTAATAAAAACTCAGAGACAGAGATTGGGGTTCAACCTGAAGGCCAGAAAAGCAAAAGCAACCAGCCACTGACTCTGAGCTCAACCTCAGTACCCACAATGGTGATCTTGCCTCCAGGAAACCTCAGAATGAGAATGTGAATGAAAGTTGTCGCCTCCCATTTTATAATCCTCTCTAGTTCTGGGATTAAGGGCATGCATCGCCCGGTTTCTATTTCAAGCTAGTATGGCTACTGTGATTAAAGGTGTGTGTCATTGCTACCTAGTCTATAAGGCTGGTCAGTGTGACTGTTTTACTTTTCTGATCTTCAGGCAAGCTTTATTTATTACAATACAAATGAAATGTCACTACAGTAGAGTTCAAATTTTTCCCATAAAGATGGTGTGGTGCTTTGAAAGAAAATGGCCCCCAGAGGAAGTGGCACTAATAGGAGGTGTGGTCTTATTGGAGGAAGTGTGTCTCTGTGGGGGTGGGCTTTGAGGTCTCCTATGCTCAAGCTGCTCCCAGTGTCTCAGTCCACTTCCTGTTGCCTGCAAGACATAGAACTCTCAGCTACTTCTCCAGCACCATGTCTGCCTCCATATTGCTATGTCCCACCACGATGATAATGGACTGAACCTCTGAACTGTAAAATTTTGTAAGAGTTGCCATTGTTATGGTGTCTCTTCACAGTAATAGAAGCCCTAACTAAGACAGATGGAGCGCAGAATGGGGCACAACCATGTCAAAGCAGAACCACCAAAGTCCCACAGTCTCCATATGAGCTGCAGAACACATCAGAGACAGCATTCTGTTTCCATAAAAATAAACCCTAGAGTTTTGAAGTTCTTTGACTTCATCAAACTTTAATTTTCTCATTTGAAAAAACAAGTCTACTACTCACTCAATCTGCATCTTCCAGAGAGTGTGCCTGTCAGGAATGTGTTCTTTCTGAGAAACACTATTGCAACACACACACTGGGACCTACCAAGAGCCTGAGAATGGAAACCTGCTCTCTCCATTCCCATCCTCTCCTCCATCTAGCACCCCAACACCACTCCCTGAGGGACATGTGTAGGACTCCCCATTTGTTGATTTTTTTAAAAAGTAAACTTAGCTGCTCAAACCTGGAGAACAAAGGCTCAATATGCAAGGCCAGTCAAAGAGTCTGAAATGCGTACTTAAGAGAAAACCCGCTTGGGTAGCTTTATATGTGTTTATGTGTGGTATGGGCTGCTTTTCTGTTGCTGGGATAAAAACACCATGGCTAAAAGAAAATTGTGGAAGAGAGTTTATTCTGACTTCCAGATTCAGGGGATGAGAGCTGAGAGTCTGTCAGGGTGGGCAGGCACGGCAGCAAGCTGCAGGCTTGGTGGCAGAAGCGAGAAGCAGAGAGATCACACCTCAGCCACAAGCAGGAAGCAGAGAGATCCCATTGGAAACAGGGTGAGGTTCTATAATCTCCGGTGTGACAAATTTCCTCCAGCAAGACTGCAACCCCTAAACTTCCCCAAATGGGGCTACCAACTGGGAGTGAAGTATTCAAACACTAACCCTATGGGGGACATTTCTCATTCAAATACCTTTCTTTTCTAGCCCTCCGTCTTATTTGTTGAGAGAGGGTCTCTCATCAAACCTGGAGTCCATTGATTCAGCGAGACTCATTGGCCAGTGAGCTTCAGGAATGTTCCAGTCTCTCCCCAGGGCTGGGATTGCAGGTACATGCCATCATGCCTTTTTTAAATTTTTTCACCAGGCCTGGTGCAATGTGGGTGCTGGAGATCTGAACTTAGTTCCTCATTCTTGCACAGCGAGGACTTTACCGAATAAATCATCTCTCTAGTCTCCACTTCGTCAGCTTTTACAGGTAGAAAATTGTACCCTCTATTAGACTGTTAACTGACGTATATATAATCCATGTATGAAGAGGGAAGTCACTTAAGGAATTTATTGAGTCAGGTGTGGCGACAAACACCTGAAGTCACAGCAGCTGGGAAACTGAGGCAGGCGGAGTATGAATCTGAGACCAGCTGGGCTACACAATAAGACCCAGAATAGATAATTTAGGTGCATCTATAAAGAATCTCCATTTTTTTTTAAACCAACAATGTGCCTATGACACAGTTTGCCAAACCAATGATTTGGCATGGGCTTAGCCTTGTCTCCCAGAACTCAGGGTGTATCTGTAAAAATAATAAAGCATGGAGATAGGCTTCTATTGCACACCATACTGGGGAGGGGGGTGAATGGAAGCAGACCCCCCTGCAAGCCTCTTGTCCTTGGATGGCAGCCTTGCTTCTTCAAAGCTGCCTTTGGTGTGATTCTGATTTCATGAGCGTTACTCGCAGTGCATCTGTGGGAAATAGTTCCGCAGAGGGGTTTGCTCTGGGGAATGACAGCTGCAAGCTGTAGCTCATGATCTTTTGATTCTGGCTGCCTCGTTGGAAAGGAGTCCCAAGAAATACTTACCTTAAGGGCAGAAATTTGTGAGCATCCATTCCTAGTCCTTCCTCTTGGGTCTAAAGGGGTCCTCCCTCTTGGATGGAAGCCTGTAGCCATCTACTGTTTACTTTGTTTTGGAAACCCCATAAATTATAGGCCGGGCAAAGGAATATAGTTTGTGTATTGACAGAAAGGACTTTCTATCATACTTTTTGTGAATATATGGGGTTCACTGAATCCCCAAGTTGTAGGTGCAATCATGGAGGTGTAGCTATACCCATCTTCAGCCCCCATTTAGCACCTTTAAGATGCCCACCCAGCTCTACCCCTGATGTTAAGGTTCAGAGGCTCAGAAAGGGAGGTCGTGCAGAAGAGTCAGAACTAGAACCATTTCTCGTATCCTGGATTTGTATCAGATGGGTCAGACCACAAGGATCAGAGCCCAAGGACAAGTACCTGGTGTAGACACGGGCAGGCCTTTGCCAAGGGAAGGCACGGTCTAGCAAACAGCAAAGACTCCGACCGTGAGTGCAGGCTGAAGTGTTAGCGTTGGCAGCCGTGGAATATAAGAGGAGAAACTGGGAATGTTTGATGCTGAGAGCTTATACCAGCAGTCAGTGTTTGGTACCCGGCCCCCAGTAGCGGGGCCCCATGATCAGGAACAGGTTTCTTGTCCCTGGGAGAGTGGCTCGTACTACAACGTGAGAAACTCAGAGTCCACAGGACCAACGTGGTTGGCGATGATAAACATGTGTATTCAGGCTTAAGAAAAGATGCTAGAATGTGATGGCTAAAACTGGGTTCATTGTGGGACGGTGGCGCTGCAGAACAAAGCAGAGGCTAGAGAATATAGCAGATTCATTGGTGGGGTGGTGGTGCTACAGGGCAAAGCAGAGGCCAGAGAATATAGCAGACTATCTGGCTAGGTTTTCAAGGCTCCTGGGTTGAGTCTGCTGGAAGGGATTGGAAAAGGGACAAAGGTGGAGGCTGCTGGCCAGGAGGACTTCTGCCCTGACTTTTAACCCAGTGCTCTTTCCTATTAAATATTTATCGGGTGGACACCCTACAAAGCTGGAGGCTTTCACCCTTGTACCTTGTGTGAAAGGGAGAGTGGCGGTATAAGGGTCCCATTTGCTCACGCTATTTGGAAAGCACAGCTGTATTGACCCACATGTGGCAATAGTGCACAGATAACTGAAGCAAAGGGGAGTTACGGCCCTCTGAGACATTTCAATGGCCAAACATAAAGCTCTCATAAGCCACGGAAAGTGAACCTTAAAAATATAGATATAATATAAGCCATCCTTTCAATAAGTCAAGCAGGGTTGAGTGAACTGTGCAATGCAGTTAGTGAGGCAACTGCTGTGTATTCTTAGTAGGCAGGGAAAGGAGGATGAGGGACAACATTCATGGCGGGGTCAGAACCCTGGGTTCGATGCTGCAGTTCCATTAGAAACTGTTGTCACATATAAGCCTCCATTATGCATCCCTGCGAATCTTCACTGTCAGCGTGACTGAATTCGGAATCGCCAAGGACACACGCTGCTGGCTGTGTCTGTGGAGATGTTTCCAGAGGTCTCACTGGACCAGCATTTGTTTCTCTCGCCCTTCTGCCTGCAGATACAGTGTTTACCAGCGGCCTCACCCTCCTGCCACCGTGATTTCCTCGCCACAATGGACTCTTCCTTCTTGGCCTGGGAGCCAGATTAAACCTTGCTCCCTAAGTTCTTGTCAGGTGTCCAGTCTCAACGACGAAAAAAATAACACTATAAGCCCAGAGGAAGAGAAGGATTAAGTAGAATCAAGCCCTTTGCATGTTCTCTGGAGGAATCATAGAGAATCATTCTCCTGCAATTTGAGTCCATCATTCCCTCTTTCTTGCCTTGGCGTTGAGACATTCTTGGCTGAGCATGTATGCATGCCCTACTTAATTTGGCATGTCTCTCAAGAGCTTTGTGCCTGGCCCTTCTGTTAATACCTCATTTTCATGATTTAGAATTGAATGTTATCTAAAGGCTCCTGTAGTAAAGGGCTATTATCCAGATGGCACTGCTGGGGTCTGGGGAAATCTTTAGGGAATGGGACTTACGGAGAGGCCTGTAGGTTGTTGGAAGCAGGGTATAGCAGACCCTGGTCCTTCCTCTTCCTGTCTCTTGGTTCCTAGCAACGAGGTGAATGGTAAATGGTTTCGCTCCATTGTACCTGCCAGCAGCGATGTCTCAAGGGCAATAACGCCAGCAGATCACTGACCTCCAATACTGTACACCAAAAATAAGCCTTCCATCTTTATCAGTCAATCATCTTGGGCATTTTGTTGCGGTAACTGAAAGCCTGTAAATGCATTCTTTTTGCATCCGCTTTGCATTCACTCTCTTACAGCAGAGCAGAGAAGCTAGCTGTCCTCTCACTAGCCAAAAACAAAACTCTTGGGGCCAAGTCATGCCAAACAACATCCTTTTCTTCATAGAACAAAATACACTTCAGAACTGTCTGATCTCTCCTTGTAGAAGGAAATGAACATGCTGTTTAAGAATGAGGTTAGTGTTGCCTGCCTTCAGCCCCAGCACTTGGGAGACACAGGTAGGGGCAGGAGGATTTCTGAGTTCGAGGCTAACCTGATCTCCAGGGTGAGTTCTAGGACAGCCAGGGCTACACATAGAAACCCTGTCTTGAAAAATGTCAAAAACAAACAAACAAGCAACGCCAACAACAAAAAGACGGTGAGCTCATTCAGAGCTGGCTGCACGAGCATTTCTTTAGAGTCGCTGGCTTTCTGTTACTCAGAAGAATAATAGGCCTTTGTTCTTGGGCATAGATAGAGATTTAATTGAAGAACACGGGTGGAGTGGGAATAGTGGGTTTATCAGATGCAGTGGTTGGAACATGAAGAGTCTTGCTAAGCTCATGACGCTGAACACTTGGTCTCCCGGTAGCAGTGCTGTTCGGGGAGGCTGTGGAACCTTCAGGAGGAATCCTTGACTTGAGAAAGTGGGTTCCTGGGGAGCTAGCCCTGAGGGTGATACCCTGGGGCTGCCTCTAGTGACTCTCGGCTTCCTTTCTGCTATTGAGACATAACAACTGTGCAATAAGCTAGTCACCCTGCCTTTCTTGCCACATTGGACTCACACTGCCCCCATTGGTGGGCCCCTTTAAGTCTTTCTTAAGCTGCTTCTGTTGCATAATCTAATCACAGCAGTGAGCAGGACACCTAATACATCAGATATGCAAACATGGAAAGGTTAAGTAAAACCAAATAAGAGATGTTAGCTGAACGAATGATAAATACAAGCAAGTGAGGGCCCACATGATTTGAGAAATGATCTCCACCCCTAGCCATGCATTAGAAGCCTTGGGGAATATGCTTAAAAGTAGTAATACCTTCACATTTAGTTCAGTTGGGGGACAGGTAATGAAAACAAAACCAAAAAAAAAAAAAAGAGTAGGATGAAGGGACACCATGACTAAGAGTCTTTTTTTAGATATTAAGGTTCAGAATGGGTCCAAGTTATGTGACGTCCACTTCAGATTGAGTTAATGCCAAGTAAAGATCCAAAGTGGGGCACACTTTCTGTTATTAAGTCTATGAAACAAATGTGTAAAAACTAGTGAGACAGAAAGAGTCAAGGACTGAGTGTGCCAGGACGTTCCCAGCCATCTACTTCTGTAAACCAAGCTCTACTCTGGGCATTGAGGCATGGGGAACCAAGCCTTCAACACATTGAGATCTGAAGGGCAATGACATGTTGGTAACAATGACTTCTGTGTCTTATGGTGATTAATTAGCTTATGGGTGTATTCATTCATTCAACCATTGTCTGCTAGTTGATCCAACAAGGCTGTACTAGATGAACCTTAGAAGGTTCTTTCTGTTCATCCGAGGAAGAATGCAACTAGATACTGATTATCCAAAGAATATTTTTAACATCTACCCTGAACAACCATAGACATATAAGAGCTAATCTCAGGTGCATGCATTGCCATTATATAATATTAAGGTCCTCGGTAGCAGTCACAGGAATTACTGAGAAATGCCAAGCATCTGGATTCCATTCTAGACTACTCGGGTCATTGGCATGGGGACCTAGAACAAAGGATCAGCAGCCCCGAGAGAACCCAGAGAAGAAGGAAAGGCCAGGAGACAGGACTAAACCCTGGGAGCAAACAGTGCGGAAGGCCCCAAAACACCCACTCTTAAACTGAAATGAATGGAAACTGGCCGTGCTTTCTCACAGAATACCCTTCTGTCTGTCTGCCTTCTCTGTGTCTATCCTGTTCT